TCATCTTCTTATTTTATTTCAAAACCACAATATCTGAACCTTTACTTATATCTCTACTTTTTCTGAGAACATGGAACTTTAAAATAGAGATATAATATAGATGAAGGCACTCAGTAAATTTTCCATTGTGAATATCTGAAGACAGAGATGCAGATTTCTCCTTGAACTAAGAAAGAACTAAGAAACTAAACTAAAAAAGTAATTCATGAACTAAAAGGAAATATGGGTTAGTGACCATAGGTACAGTCAACAGAGAATTATAATCAACCTCTGTCAAGCCTGTAACTGCTGGGTTTGTGAAATTTGAAACTGGCAAAAATGTAAAAAAAATTAATTGCATTTAATCATTTCATTTCCTCCCATTGTTAACATTTATTCTCTTCAAGCTTGAGGTAGTCCATTTAAGATTTAGGCTGGGATTCAGGACAGAGAGATTAGAAATACTTATATTCTGCCTTTTTTCTTAGGACTTCAAGATAGATTAAATAAAAATTAATGGCATTTTTTAAAAAACTTAAATGATTAAAACCGTTTTTTATTATCAAACTTTATGTTGCCCATCTCACCAAGGCGACTTTCCAATATAAGCATTCAATATTGAAATACTAAAATGTTAAAACAGTAACAGAACGTACTAAAATAGTTTACAAAACTAATAACCCAAAGACATATTTTCAAAAGCAAGTCAAAATCTCATAATAAATGTCTTTTTAAAGAGAAATGTTTTATCCAATTTAATTGAGTAACAGTGAAGTAAGAACATTCTTAATTCCAATTAACTCTGGGGCAATGGGATATACTGTAAAGTGTACCTATGGAGGTTATTTCACCAGCAAACTGATTAGGAATTGATTGATTGACTGATTATTTAGAACAGAACAGAACAGAATAGAATAACAGAGTTGGAAGGTCTTCTAATCCAACCCCCTGCTCAGGCAGGAAACCCTATACCGCTTCAGACAAATGGTTGTCCAATCTCTTCTTAAAAACTTCCCGTGTTGGAGCATTCACAACTTCTAAAGGAAAGTTTTCCCACTGATTAATTGTTTTCTGTCAGGAAATTTGTCCTTAATTCTAGGTTGCTTCTTTCCTTGATTAGTTTCTATCCGTTACTTCTTGTCCTGCCTTCAGGTGCTTTGGAGAATAGCTTGGCTCCCTCTTTTTTATGGCAACCCCTGAGATATTGGAACACTGCTATAATGTCACCCCTAGTCCTTCTTTTCATTAAACTAGACATACCCAATTCCAGCCTTTAGTCCCTTGATCATCTTTGTTGCTCTTCTCTGCACTCTTTCTAAAGTCTCAACATCTTTTTTTATAATATTTAGCTATATTCTAAGTAATTCTGGACTTTAAAAGGCATAGTCATGAAATCCAGTTGTTAGAAAAGATCCCGTTTAATATCTTAAGGAAAAGCTTTATTATTAAGAACCAGTCGAGGATATTTGATCCTGGATGGACCAGAAACAATAATTGTTGTGACTTGTGTTAGAACAGAACCCACTGTGAACTTTCTGCGAGGGAAATACAAGAAATAGATTTTTACAGAGGGTTTAGAAGTTTAATTTAGCTATTAACTATGTTTTAATATATTAGATAGATGTTAGGCTAAATGGGTTGGGTAAATAGTATTGTAGAAATGTATAAATTGTGTACCTACTTTGCAAGGGGGGGAGGAGTTATTATCTTTAAAATACATTTATTAGTATTCAACTGGGAGGGCAATTTATGTATATGTCTATTTTGATTTGTTTATGCACTTTTTTGGTGTAGTCTTGTTTAGCTTTGCTTTGTTTTTGTATTTTTTCTTTTTTTGAAGTATGTATTTTAATGTTTTGAATAAAATAAAAAAATGATTTAAAAAAAAATCATAGTCATGTTAAATCTTACTTATAAATAGGAAGCAGAATAGCCATTTGAAGAACAGGCCCAAAACAGCATTATTTATTACAGGCTGGACCACACTAGTTTCAACATAGTCTTCAAAGATTGTCCAACGTAAACTACATTGTCATAATCCAATGTGATATTACTAAGGTATTTGTTATATGGACTTTTGAGGATCATTTCCAATAAATATAGATGGGACTGCATTATGAGCAGGGCAACTAATTCTTAGCAAGCATCCAAGATTAATGCCAGGTTTCAGAAGATATCGAGATTACAAGCTTATGTTTTCAAGGTGAATAATGTACCATTGCACACAACTTAAATGCCTATTATAGCCTTACTAAGGTTGCTTATTTCTTGACTGGATTAAAATTCAGTTTATTATGACCCAATTAATTCAACATCCCAGCAATGATTTAGTTAACCTCCCTTGAATGGAACGGAAAGGAAAGATGTAGTTGAATATTATTTCATATTGATTACACTATATCTTCAAACGTCAAATGATCTCCACTACATATAAATATTAAATATCATGAAAAAGAAATGTAATTCTGAAGAACACCATCATCTAAACCCTAAATTAAGGAAAGTCTTTCCGCACCACTTTCCAAAAGCAATTATCCCAGAAAAATTAAGTCCCCATGCCCCTTCAATTTCATCTCCATAATTTTATTAAAGACACCATGGTTAAGAGCTATTAATTAGGTCCAGCAGAGTCAATAGCGACTTGCTTTCTCTATTGAATTCTTGGATTAGTTCATTTATCGAGGCAGCCAAAATCATTAAAGTTTCTCAACCAGGTCTAAAGCCAGACTGAAATATATCTAGATTATCTTTTCCTTTAAGGATAAAAACAACCTAATCTATTTAGAGTGGAGAAGTCGTCACACATACCAGCACCCAACTCAAATTAAAGTATTATAGATTACTCAGAAGTTCTATGAGGATCAAAAAACTAAAAAGGGGCATTTCCCCAAAAATAGTCTCATCATAGAATCCACCTCACATGAAGGAACTACCTCCTGGACAAAGGGAAAATGTATATGTAGTTGAGTTCTTTCTGCATGCTTGGGCTTGTATAAACTGAAACACCACCACAATATTGCTCTGTTTACAACAACTAACTGAAAATAGCAGAACCACAAAACAACTTCAGATTTTATGACATATCCTTAAGAAGGCTTAGAGCTATTTCAAATTAAAAACAAAAAAAGCACATGGAATTTCATCTATTTCAGCAATTATTGGCCTTGGCAATCAAACTGGTTTGGATGACTGGATCAAATGAAAGAAATGCCCAGCCACCAGAATGCTACAGCATGCGTGAAAGTTTAAGAAGACAAAAGGAAAGAAATGTTTCTTGAAGACATTGCAACTTTAGCATATTTGTACAGTGCACGACTTTTGCATCATGAAGCAAATGCTTTAAGTAATAAAGGATATACAATAAATGATAAAGCTGATTATTCATTGTGCTGTTCCCCCACTGGGGCCTCGAGCCAATTGGCAGAGCTACACTTTTAGGCCCTTATGAAAGGATAAGGAGGGTAGGGGCCAACCTCACATTGGGGGCGGGGCAAGATGTTCCAGAGGGCCAGAGCAACAACAACAGAGAAGGCCCTTCTGGACCCCACCAGCTGGAATAATTGGACTGATGGGGCCCGCATGATACTTCCTCCGCCTGTGGAACAGGCCAATTTCAGTGAGGTGAGAGAGTTCCTCAAGTAATCTGGATCCATGCCATGAAGGGCTTTAAAGGTGATCACCAACACAATGAACTGCACCAAGAAGCAGACCAGCAACCAATGCAGCTTGTGGAGCAACGGTGTTACAGGGGCAGTTCTTGGGGACCCCCAAACTGCTCACAATGCCTTATTCTGCACCAGCTGTAGTTTCTAAATGATCTTCAGAAATAGAGCACATTACAATAGTCCAACTGTGAGATGACCAGGGACTGAATGATTGAAAATAATTGTGAAAAAAACAGGACCTTGACTGCTTGGCACCATAACCCAATGCTACAATGCAAAGGGAAGAAAATGGCTGAAGGATGATGTGTCTTGAGGAAAATCTGTCACACAAAGCCTTCCCTTTGGATATGCCACCCAAGCAGTTCTATCAGAAGGGACCTGTGAGTTTAAGCCCTTTAGAGAAAATTGGCAATTTTAGCATTGGAAGGCTTTATTACAGTATCTTATTTTGTGTTTCTGACTTGCAGGATACTTATCCATCTGTTTCCTTGCCGTATAATTTAGCTGCCATGAGTACAAAGTTTTTGATTTTTTGAAGAATAATATCTACTAACTATATGATTTTAGATTCCAGTTATTGACTCCTAGTTCTACATGAAATCGGATATGGGGGATGAGATAATAACCTTCTTTTCACATTTCTTAACATGTTTTTAATCCTTTTATGGAAGGCTGAATAGAATTATTACTGCTTTTTAACTTATTTGAAGCTCTAGCTTCATCTTAGCCGGTATAATAAACAAAGTTAAGAAGGGCTTTATGTACCCATAGCTCCATATATGTGATTACCATATACCAGTGATGGCAAAGCTTTTAGAGTCCGAGTGCCCAAACTGCAACCCAAAACCCACTTATGCATCATTGAGTGCCGGCTGGGTGTGGCCCATTGGCTGGGTATGGCCCATTGGGTGGGCGTGGCTGCGGTGGTAATGGCAGACTGGGTGGGGTTAAACAGTTCAATCAATCAGTTCCAACTTTGCAAGATCTTTTTTTCCCTTGAGGTTGAAATTGATTGATTGAACCTTTTTTTTTTTTTTTTTGCACACGGTGGCAGAGGCCTAAAGTGAAAAGGTTTTATAAAACCCAGCTGAAGGCCTAGGACTGGGGCGACGGCATGCGTGCCCACAGAGAGGCCTCTGAGTGCCGCCTCTGGCACCCATGCCATAGGTTCGCCACCACTGCCATATACCATGCCTGGCATAAATGTTAAGATCCATTCTCTCCTTTGAGCCAACATACAGAGGAAATAGGATGGCAATCTCAGGAAGGAAGGAAAGTATGGATCTCTTACTGTGAATCTAGTTTCCTTTGATTTTTTGATTAAATGAGAGAAAATAAACTAGTAGAAAATCTTACCTGTACACTAGTAAAAGTGGTATACTGATAAGCTTTAACTACCAGGTAATTTGCTTCTATATCTATTATTCCAAGGATCATGTACTTCCACCATCTTCGTTTTAAGATTGCCAATAAATTTTCTTCACCTGCATTGGAATGGGGGGGGGTAGATAAGAGAGAAAAAGGTTTAAAACATAAGATTTCTTATAGATGTACATGCATATATGCAATTTTACACAAGCATTGCCTTAAATGCATAGACTACCCTTATAACAAAATCACCAACTGATTTTTTTTTTTTTTTTGGCACTGCCCTATTACGACTTGGTTTGTTGGAAGCAAATGTATGATTCAAGGGCCATTTGATTATTTTTTTCCTTTCATTAACTAATATGACAAAATATATTTCAATTAGCAGTGTAAGGCTTTCATCCCGATTATATCCTGGCATTCTAAACTATGTTGAGATGCAGAAATTTTAAAAATCTGCCATCGTTAGGAAGAAAAGGAGAAATAACGGTGACTATACCATGGGTTATGCATGTCATCCTGACATAATTCTGTGGGTAATTTGAGAATTGATACTGGATGTGCCACTCAGTTTTTCTACATCCTCACATAGTTCCATTAAGCTTCATAGTCTAAATGAGAATGACCATAACATGCTTTTTCTTTGCATAGTGATATACAGTGGATTCAAAATATACAATCAGGTTATTGTATGTTCTGAGAATACAAAGGATAATCCTAGGCTTGGTTGCCCTTCAATAAATCAGTCTACCTTCAATACAGCTTATGTCTAGAATCTTGCTGTGAATTTTGCTCCCAGAAAACTATCTGGCTGTCTTGTTAACTCACATGATGGATAATTAAAGGATGCATTTTCATGAGGGAGCAGCTTCCTAAAAATAAAGTAGCCTCTTAAAAGTAATGTAGTAATTTCAAAATCTATGCTCGAGAGTTATTATGACAAGTATTCTAATACATAGTTGCTATATACACACACCTCTAGGGCAAATCTAATACTACTGATTCTACACATCCATGAACATCAACTGGCAGTCAAAAGGCATGGTGAAAATTCTTTAATTTCACAACGTATAGACAGATTTAACTATAGTTTCAATTGGGAAAAGGTGAAAATCCTAGACCAGGCCAAATCCAAAAATGCAAGGGAATTTCTAGAAGCCTTGCACTCTGAGACACATAGACATTAACAACATCTACAGACTATGCAAAAGAGACAATCAACCAGCCCCAAAAGGAAGAAGACTCCAGCATCTCTCCACTAGTAATCAGCACTCAGATCAGCATAAATTAACTCCAAAGTTACCTTCAGACTAACAGTCAAGTAAGCAATATCCCAATCAAGAAATTGTCAAAGAGCCATTAGAAAGCAGCCCAACCAAAGAATCCCTAAGACCACCCCAACCCACACAGACACCAGAATATAAACAGACCCCAAACAGCACTCCTTACTAGCACTGATGATGCTACATAGTTAGGATAATGAAACGTCTGCAAGAAAACAAGCAAGCTCAGAGAGCACCAAGGATCTCTCACTACTGATTCTTCAGTGCATCATGACCTACAAAGGGGTACCAGGATGCAGATAGAATCCAGGATTTATTCGACATCCCCTCTCTTATTAATTTATCTGAGGTCCTTTACTTCTGCTGTATTTCCCAGCTATGAATACCTAAAGATTGAACTCTACCTTGGGAAGATGCGACTAGTTAGGTGCTAGGCTCTGTCTATAATAGATTTTGTGTGAATAATTCTCCTGTTATAAAACCTCTTTAACAATTACTGCTCAGAGCAAATTCTCAGATTTGTTCGTGTACATACCCAGGATATTCTGATATCCAATTCAGACATGCCTGAAATCTGACCCAACAGATTCAATGCCTTCTTCTCTTTTTTTGTAGGATGAACTTTTTAGAGCAGATCAACATGCAATTTTATTAACCTCATGAAAATGTATTAGTAGTTTGAATCAATCCAGGTTGACCCGAAGCTCCGTTTTCAATGGGCAGGATCCAAATTAATAGTCAGTGAAATTCCAAAGCATTGGAAAAAAGGGATGGGATGATATTTTTATCCATTTCCCCCTTCCTTATGGAGCACATATGATCTGCCAGAGAGACGATCCCTTGATTTTCCAGTACAGTGGCTATAGAGTTACAATAAAAATAGAGAAAAGCACCTTTTTATTTGTTTTTTTCAACAGCTAATAAAGGAAACTTTTTATTACAAAAGAGAGAATATTGATTTGAGTGTATTGTATGCAAATTGGCAGAATATGCTGGCATGATTTATACTGTACACAACTTCTAGTTTTAATTACTGCATGTGGGATAGTGCCAACAGAATGCCCAAATAGATTTAATTACTCTATACAGTAGCCTGTAAGAAAAAAAGCACAGCTTTAGTTAGAACATATTAACCACAAACTAATGGGGAACATTATTAAAAATGTATTCCTCTGTAGGGCAAATAAAACACTTAGAATTGGTTATAAGCATGGAATTTTATGGAAAGTAGAAAGTCCCAAAAATTCAGATAACTTTGAAATAGGAAATACCATCCCCCAAAAGGAAGTGAGGTTCACATTTCTTGTAGTATCAATCTTCTAGTTCTTTTTTTTTTTACTTTTGAAGTTCCAAATAATAAGACAGAGAGGGAAAATAAAAAAAACCACATAAATTTTCTGCACAACCACCATACTGACATTTCCTAAAGGAAAAAGCAGATTAATGTTAAAAATACAATTCAAGGAAGCAAAAAATGATTAATCCACTAATATTTACGGACAAGTAGGGAATACTTCTGGGATCTGTACTATCTTAAATGATCTTTGCCAAAATTCTGAATTCTATTATTGGTTAGGTCCAAAGCCCAAAGTGGCTAGCCTATGGGTGTGATGCTTATTTCTGGTTAGCAAGTCCTAAGGAGGGACATTTGCACCCAGACATTCTCTATCATTTCAAAATGGACTGAACTAGAAGTGTGTGCTGCTAAATTATTAAGGGGGATGGGTGGGAGACTTTCCAGCCATAGTCAGTGAAGAGGAGGCTGAGATCTTGGTGGGGCTGAAAAAGAGACAACCTTTTTATCTTGCTTTTTTTTCCCCCCCCTGTGGTTCCTCTGAAATTAAGTTAGTCAAGAGAGACAAGACTGATTAATGCTGTCACGTAGCAATGCTGAAGCCTGACCTCTCTTGGTCTTTCTCAATCACCCTCCCACTCAGCATTCCTTATGCAGCTTAGAGGCACCCTTTGGAGCAGATGTCATAATTCCTTCAAGTCGGTAGATGCCAGCAAGCTGCCATGAATGCATAGGTCATTGGCCCTCCCTCTGCATCGTTTTGCCATCATCCATATTCACATCATTTTAATTTTATCAAACTTATTTTAAAAAAAAAAGGACCCAAGGAGCTCTAATGCTTCTCCCTCTCAATTTATCAACAGGTTCCTGGAAACGCTTCACGTTTGGACTCAAATTGGGGAAGTCAATTCCCCTTCCTTATTAAAAGCCATCATAATGGGGCACAGGCTAAAATTGTGACAATAACAGAATAGGAAAATGCATTGGTTGTGGAATACATCAAAGTCTTAGGATACAGCAGGGAGAAATTTGCCTCTCTGTGATGGAGTTTGAGGGAAAGCAGAAAGGTCTAAAATTGATCTCTGTGGGGGCAGCTATACGTTGAAGAACTGAGCAGAAGATTTGGACTGCTGGAGTGAGAAAGCTCCTATGTGGGGAGATGGTCTGGGAGGCATAAATGCTTTGCTATGTACACTGTAAATAACTGGTAGGGGGTGTAGGAAGCTACAGAATGAACAATTAATGTTGAAGAAGTTTGCAATGATTATAATCAATCATCTCAAAACTATTGTGACATAAAGTAGCAATTCTTTCAAAAAGACTAGAAAACATATACTGGCTAATACAAAAAAAATCCTCAATACTCACAATTTATTGGCAAGTTAAAGTTCAGTTTAGGATATGGTGTTATCGTAAATGAAAATGAAAATGTACTGTGGTCTTATGAACGCACATTAACATTTTATAAAGATTTATTGTAAAGTTAGCAGCTTAGCTAACTTTTGTCAGCTTCACAAAAGTCTGATGTTCTGGTCATATATATTCATCTCGGTTGTCAGTCTCATCTTCTCTTTCAGAAGACTTAGGATGCAATTGCACCATGTGAAACATAGTGGAGGAAAGTTAAGTGTTATCAATGTACTACACAAGAACAGTTTTTTTGTCTACACTTCATTGACAACTCTGGACATGATTGCCTAGTGTCTAAAAGTCAACAGCAGGCACAGGCTACATTCATCATAGAATAATGAACTCTGTTATAAAACAGGTTGCACTGAATTATTCAGAAACTGCAAGCTTGGGGCAAATAGGGATGTTGGCTTCTCCTTTTATTTTTGGCTCAGAATAGAATACTGTAGGATAAGAATGAGGGAATTACATTTAGTTTTGCCTAATTAAGATGACACACTAAATTTAATTTAACAGTTTCACTTGTGAAGGCAAATTTCTGATTTGCACAAATATGCAATGTATTTATATTAAACAAGGTTTTGCCAGAATCCAGATTTATGGTGTATGAAGCTTAGTATCACTGTTAATCTGGAGAGCAATTAAACAAAATCCTGGATTAATGTGATTAGAATTAGAAGCTTCTAAACCCATTTTCACCTAGCTCCTAAAGTTAATAAGGCTTAACCTTTCCCTCTTCTGAGACCCAGTATTGTTAGCAGCTTCAAGGAGAGTTTTTTAGAAACAGAAGCTGGTGAAAACTAAATGTCAATGGGTCAGGTCAAGTTCTTTTTAATGCTAAGGTTATCTAGGGTAAACTGCTACAGACTTTCTCCCTCTATATTTCTGTGAAATATTTTCTTTCATCAGTAGCTTGTATGTTGTTCAATTACTAAGTTGTGTCTGGCTTTTTGTGACCCCATAGACCAGTGGTCGTGAACTTATGGCATGATGCCAGAGGTGGCACTCAGAGCCTTTTCTGGGGGCACACGCGCCGTCGCCCCAGCCCCACCTCCCCCACAGACCCCTGCTCACCAGAAAGCCCCCCAAAGAACAGCACAGCCTGCACAGAGCAGCGTAGCCAAAGACA